GGGGGGGGGGAGCCGGGGCCGTGCGTGGGTGAGGGGTGTGCGGGGCGGGCTGGAAGAGGGCTGATCCCGCGGAGGAAGAGGGAATTACTTCCAACTTTCATGTGTACCTGAAGTGTTTGGAGAACTCTCAGACGGGAGTCCCCCTGGGCCGGGGCTGCGCGGGGCTGGAGAAAGGCTCCTTTCATTCAGCGCGGGCGGCTCCGGGGTGTGTAATTTGCTTAGCCTCTGAACTCCATGTGATTTAAATTATTCAGATTTCTAAGCGCCTTTCCTCTTGATCTGCTGTTGCGAAGTCATTTTTTAAAAAGTGTTTTGCAAGCTGATGCGTTATGTGCTGCATGAAACCACGCGTGGTGCACGGTATCTGAAGTTTGGGCCGTTAGCATGTGCTTACAGAAACCGTGGTGCTTCACGTAAGGAGGGAAAAAGGGGGAAAAAAAGTCAGCTAGAACGAGCTCTATGCCTGAGCACAGAGCGGCACAAAAGGAGAAGCTGGGAGCTCTCAAGCTCCTGCGTGCTGTAATGAAATAGGGCAAAAATGCAGCTTTAAGACTAACGTGATTTAGTCAGCTTTGAACTTGGGACTCCCCTGATAAAAGAATTCTACGTCATCTCTCTAATAGAAAGAAAAGATGGGGAGCTCAGCAGGCGTTCTGTGTGCTGGCAGGATCCATAAAGTGCTGGCGAGCACAGCATGAGAGATGCACACTGCTGTGGCCCGCTAATGTGATGATGTATGGCACCTGCGGGCTGCCAGCACTGCTGATCAAAGCGCGGCGCGGGGATCAATCTCTAATCAGAGCAGTTGTGGAGGGCCGGAGGAAAGTGATCAAAAGACCCCGGGACCCACTGCTCTGACAGGAAGCCAATCAGACTCTGTGCACAGTACAGGAAATTATCTGCTCTGTGTGAGAGGAGAAATTGCTCCCTCTGCTCCTTCCTGGCTTACCTGACATCTGGAGAATTTAGGGCACCACTTTGTGAGGAAAAGGAGCTTGGCACTAATAGACAAAAATCTGGTACTTCTGTGCCATAGTCTGCGCAATCTGTATGATTGCAGCAGGATGCCCAGATGCCATTGTTCTGCTTCAACTTTGTTAGCTCAAAACCTGCTGTGGGGTTGGTTTTCCATAGTAGTGCTTGTTAATGCAGGGCACCGTACAATGGCAGGGATCCAGCAGAGAGGTGTGAGAGGTGGATCGTGCAAACAGAACTTGTGTAAGTGGACCTAAGAATACGTGACAGCATAAGATGAATTCTCTTCACATGCAGCCGAAGTGCAGCTGCCTTGGGTCAGGCTTCAACTGGTTTGCAGTGCGATTTGGCATGCTGTGAGGTACAGTCAGTGCCTCTTATAGTAAGTGCGAATCCAGGAGATTTCAGTGCTGTGGAACTGTATTCTCTGGTAGTTTATACTTAAAACAATCCAGGTCCTTGATGTTGTTTACTTGAAATCCGTTCTCTAGTTGTTCAGTTGCAAAACTTTTCTCAAAAATGAGTACAAGCTTAAGTGCAACTAAGTACCAACTCCTGACTTTTTTCTTCCCTGATTTTAATTATTTGGGGGATCAGCAACACTGGTCAAACCAGTTCTTACTTGGTTTAATTAGAGCGGTTTTTACACTCTGCTGCAACTTAAAGATTGTATAGCTTTTAGCTAGAGGCAGGTTAAAAGCTGCCTGGAGTTGGAGAATGAGATATTGCTGTTCGTGTGCCAAATAATCGTTGGTCAGCAGAGAGAGAGCTTTTTCACTCACGCAATCTACGAATAAAAACTCTGTCTACTTGTGAAACTGCTGCGTGGCCAAGTGGTTCTGATGCAGCGTGGATTACAGTGTTACTCCCCTCTGTGTGTGGATGATGCAGATGGTGGGTCAAGGTGATACTGCATATGTCTATGACCAATTGTTAAATCAGTGGGACTGCTTGTGTTACAGAAGGTAAGCAGTTGCTTACGGACTTTCCTTTTAATAAGTGGAGGGGTTTTTTTTTAATTGCTAAATGAGCGTTAATGTCAGAATTGCAGTTGGACTCAATTGGGTTTATTTGTGAAATGGGAGAGTATTTAAGAACCCCTCTTTCTATAGGGGGACATTTTAGGTGGTAATTTCCTAGGGAAAGTACTTCTTTGTATCTGTGAATTAGGTATTCTTAGAGCACAACCTTTGGCTATTAGCTCCTAGGAGCTCAGTGTGATGGGCCTTGCAATGGAGCATGGTATAGCTCCATTTGAAATGACTTACAGCTATGTCATTTTTTGCTGGACCTCTGTGATGGTCAGGTTTTCCTTAAGAAAAGATTTATTTGTGAACTTTAACATTAAAGGAGTTTGTGATTTTCTTGAGGGGGTGGAGGAGGAATCGTGTCTTCAGTGTTTTCATCTCAACTGAGTAAATACTCATCTGAAGGATCAAAGATGTTTATACAACCATTTTCTGGAGATGGAACTAGTAGCAAGTGGTGCATGTGGTGATGGCTCCCGTTTATTTACTTGGATTTAATTTTGACAATACTTTGTTGTGCTGGAAAACAGATTATGCTTGAATGGATCTTCAGATATAGATGGCTTTGTCAGTTTTCTTATGACTGATGTATTTCTTACCATTTTTCCGTACTGTAACAAGGAGTCAAAAGAAAGGCACCTCAGTTTCCTTTGGGAGAGCAAAACTCAATCTCTTGCATACTGAATTTGGTTGCTTGGATGGCTTACTTGTTTCTTCTTTCTGTTAATGTTCTGTGTACTTCTCATTATACTTTTCTATACTATTTTTCTATAATAATACCTTCAGCTTGTTTCTGTAGTTTCAACAGTGTCTGAGGGAGCTTTTGGTGGAGTACTTAATGAGAATGACTTAACTCTAGTGGCCTGAGTGCATTTGCTTAGTGACACTGTTAGTTTAGGTTGGATTTAACTGCAGCGTGAGCTGGTAGGAGAAACTAAATTATTCTTCCTTGGCTATTTTAGGGAAGATATGATAAGTGTTTATGCTTATTTATGGTGATCTTTTCCATTTTGCGCTGAAAAGAATCTGTTTCCGTTGCCTTTGCAACCTCCCTTTGGGTATTTGGTACACGTGGATGAGATCCCCCTGAGCCCCTTCTTCTCCAGGCTGAGCAGCCCCAGCTCTCTCAGCCTCTCCTCACAGGACAAGTGCTCTGAACCCTCTATCATCTTGGTGGCTTTCCAAAGTCTTTCTTGTCCAATTCTGGCACCCCCACTACACAGAGATCTGGCCTCACCAGTGCTGAAGGGAGGAGAAGGAAGGATCAATGAACAGTGATGAATAAAGTTGCTGAAGCAAATTCTAGAAAACCATAGTCTTCATTAGACTTCTGTCATTTCTGCAGTATAGGTAATTTGCCAATGTTTTGATAGCTCTTCATTTTCTTTAAGTGATTTCTTTTTTATGCTTTTGAATAGAAACCCTTAGTATTAAAGATCTGAACATAGATCACTCCGTAAAGTATTTCTTAAATCTTTTGGAAAGGGAAGGATTATGTCATTTAAGCAAAAAGAAAAGTGACAAGCTGGAATTGAAGACTT